TATCTATCATTGTCATTTCTGTGAATTCCTTAAAACATCTACTGTTAGTTTGTGTAACATTACGTCGTGCTACAATCTGCGTAAAAAGTGGGCTTCATTACGTGTTATCTGCTAAGTCTTGTTGGTATTGAAAACTATTTTTTGTGCCGTTCTTCTACAAACAGCCAGCAGAATTATGAAGATACTCGTTCTCAATGCACATGCTGCAAACTAAAGTAATGGCAGTCCTACGAAAATTCTGTTTGTAATGTATAAGCGCTTTATGTCGACGTACAATGGGTGTGAAATACATGTTCTCGCCCATCGTGTGCCACCGGCTCGGTGGTAATTGGCTACTTTACAAGTGAAAGAACCGCGTCCGTGGGCCTTGATAAATTATTCAAATTATTCAGCAGCCCTCTGATTGGTCTCCGCTAGAAATTTACTGGATGTCATTCAGTGACGAGCCTCCCCCCCCCCATGCAAGCCCTCTCTAAAAATAAGTGTTTCTTCCTGCAGGATGCCACAGTAGACGAACTCATCAAGAAAATCAGTGAGAAGAACAAAATCCCTCCTGAGACCCAGCGAGTCCTGTACACCACCAAGCAGCTAGAGTATGGCCAGGGGAAATATCTCTCTGACTACAACATGCAGAATGAGTCCACACTTTTTGTCGTCTTGCGCCTGCCTGGAGGTAGCGGTAGCAAACAGCTGGATGAAGATGTGGAGACGACGGACGCTCCTGACATGATCAGCTGGGAGGACGACCCCAACACTCCCCGCGCCAAGATGTCCTGTGGACACGCCATCACGCCAGAGACTCTCACCACCTACTGCGAGAGTCTGCTGAGGTAAACTATAACTGGAAAAGTAACATTTGCAAAGCAAATGCATAATGTTTACCTTCGCATATTGTCTGCTTTGTTAATTCTTACTCAAACACATTCACATATATGGTCAGACAGGAGTTCAAATCCCTCCTACCGGTACTATAAAATTGCAACATGATGTAACCCAACACCAGTTACCATGGTAACAAATCAGGTCATTGGCCAGGTCAGAGGTCACTATTTGGAAAAGAAGAATAGGAAACTGAGCAAAAACAATATGTTTTCCTTCGGTAAACATAACTATAACCTTGTCAGCTAGAACCTAGAAATGTCTATATTACTAGTAAGTCACTGATACATGTACAAAGGCCGCAGCAAGTAATTTTCATGGATGACATCAGCGCACTCATTAATTTTTGCCTGATTTTGGAAAAATAAACAAGAAATTATGTTGCCCTCTGACAGTGTTCAACATGCGGAAAATGGGCAAAGATGTCTGTTGCCATGCCGGAAGGTGGATGGCAGATAAATATGAAGAGAGGAGACAAGACAAAGCTCTGTTAATGTTAAATGTCATTAACTTTGATGCAGTGATGTATTTCATTAGTACTTTTATATGTGATATTCCCACTGAATCAAAACCATCAATTTGTGCAATGACTGTACACCAAATGCAACATTTGCCTGGAAAAACATAAGCAGCACCACAGAAATCTTTTTAAAAATTTAAACTTTCACTTTCGTACCAAGTACATGATACCATTGACATGGCTACATCATGCATGCCATTGTCTGCCTGAAATACAGACACACCTTTCACTTTCGAATGCGTCATACAAAAAAATAGCAGACCACATGTAGCCCATTGTTCTGAACCAGTGGTGCAGTTTCAGTCATTCACCCCAAGGGGGGAAGGGGAGGGGGGCACAAACTTTGAGGTGGGTGGCTGCCACAAGCACTATATATTTCTAATCAGGCTAGATCTTAAGTACTTCACTAGGGCTTTATCTATTTTTACAAAATGTTGTTACCCGTTTGTTAAGTGTTCACACACTGTTTACATACACTATACTGTTCCCAATCTGCAAAATATAAAACTTCTATGTTACCTTATTTCATTTGATTGTTGATGAGTTAGTTACAATTTCCTCTTGTTCACGATAAGTTTATCTATTTTATAGTTGACCTTTGTTAGTTCATCTTTATCTTTTGTTATAATTATAATGTCATGTAGTTTTGTTGCGGTTATCCCCCCAGGAATCTTTGAAAACCGCCAATAGGCGACATGTATATCCTGGTTAAATAAATAAACAAACAAGCAAACAAACAGAGAATTGTTGCCTATGGACACTTGTTCAGCTTTTGATTTAATTCCAACTCTCTAAAGCATCAAAGCAAGCACTAAAGTTTTTTTGGCCTATGTTTCAGTGCTGGGAAGTACGTTTTCAAGTGTCCCTACATCAGTCCAGCTACAGAGTACTGTGGGAAGGAGTGGTCCTATCTGGAGGTCCGACGCCTTGCTGTTCTCACCCTGGACGAACAGAAGCAGTTTGAGATCAAGATCTCCGACAACTACCTGCGCAAGGGGATGGGCATCCAGGAGTGTCCCAAGTGTCACTCCTTGTGCGAGCGGATCGACAAGAAAGACAAGCGCGTGGTGTGTCCGCTGTGTTCGGCAGCGGGCACGATGGAGTACCACTTCTGCTGGTACTGTCTGCACGAGTGGGTCGGGACAAGCGTCGACAAGTGCGACAACGAAGACTGCAACGGTGAGGACAAGCGACTGAAGATCCTCCGGGAGAGCAAGAAGAAGACCATCGTGGGCGTGGCTAACTGTCCTGCCATCAGGGCCTGTCTGAAGTGTGGCATGCTCATCGAACATGACAGGGCCTGCAAGCATATGGTAATATTTTGTACATACATGTATACTGTGATGATACTTGGTTGTAACATTGCCTGACTACAGATTCTAATGTTGTCTGATATTCTGGTATCTTTGCATGTTTATCTAGAGTCATGTAGGGTATTTTATTGCAGACAAGTCATTAACTCTAACTAACTTTGTAACTAAATAACTCCAACTAAAGGGTAACATCTGTGTCCATAAGATCACCATAGTCCATAATATCGCCACCTTGAGAAAAATTGTGCTTAAAGATATTTTTACTGCAACATACCCTAGGTATGTACATTTGAGGTGAGCAGGAGTGCATACCAAAAGTATGTTGCATTAAAAAAATCTTTAAGCACACTATTTCTCAAGGTGGTGATATTATGGACCCGGGTGATATTATGGACATGGATGTTAACTCTAATTCTGGATTCTCCAGTTGGTTCAGCATTCAAAGAGGCACACAAGTCATTAACACTAACAAACTACTACAATGTAGTAACTAGCTCTAACTAATTTTCTTAACTCTATGAGTAGAGTAGAAGCTTTGCTAAGCTGACCAGCATCTTTTGTACAGCAATCATTACTCAGTAAGACATCTGGAGACGTACATCTAACATTTGATTTTCTTAACTAGTATGGACTATACTGTCAGTTCAAGACTCAAGTAGGTAGACAGGTCACTCTAACTCTAGTGCTATGACAGCATCTTGTGATATCTATGGAACTTTGTAACCACCTCTCACCATTGACTATGTCTGATATCTCCCCTGTATGCAGGCCTGCATCTGTGGTCAGAAGTTCTGTTTCATCTGTCTGAAGCCTGCCATTGAGGGAAACTACCAGTGTGGTACGTACAAGAGCCCGTGTGAGGTCGCTGATGTGCAGACCACCATTCCCGGAGATGACTAAGATGGCCGAAGAACACTGTCCGCTCACGTTACTGTTAGGGCCAGTTAACACGGGGCAAAAAAATCATTTGTCCTACGACGATAGACGCGTGGTGTGTGTCGTAGGACAGATTTTTGAGCATGTAAACACGCCCGCCACAAGTGTCGATTTTTGCATGTGTGGCACATCCTGAACACATGCCGATTGTTCTGGGACAAATGATCCTTGCCCTGTGTAAACTGGCCCATAGTCTTACATGTAGCCTGCGTCTACACAATCTCTCTCTGGCTAGGGTAACTGTCAGGCCACCCGCTAGGAGCATGATTTAGTCAGGCTAGTCTTTACATGTAGAGAGAGAGACACATACCAGTACTTTAACTCAAGTTTTATCTAAAAAAAATGTGTCACTTAAACTATTACGTTCATTATGTTGGATCCACCCTCCCAAAAAAATCCTGCAGATTGTATGCTTGCACACAGAGGTATTGCTGAAACATTTCTATGAAAAGCTGTTGTGATTGTAGTGTTTTGTTGGTACTAAATTGTGGTGATTTAGAATTGTTACCTGCTTGCATCAGAAGTAAAAACTATGTTTTCCATCTTTTGGACCCAGGTTGATGTTATAGAAGTTTTCAGTAGCAAATTTGAACATCTTTATATTGGTTATCCCAGAAACATTATATATATATACTGTGTATGTGTGTGTCTAAGGAATGGACCTTTTTTTGCATTCATTAAAGTATCAAAATGATCTGCAGTTGTATGTTTATTGAACTACAATGTTATTTTAAATGTCTATAACAGTATACTACTAGCTTATGTAAACTCGCACTGTTTTAGGAGTGAATATTGACGATAGGAGCATTATTCTGCATAACTGATCTTCATGAACTACCAAAGTGGCCATGAGAAGATGTTTTCAGCACCAGGGACAGGTCCGTTAGACAGGTGGGTTTTGGTCCAAATCGCTAGGTGGCACTCGTGTACTAGGAATTAAACTGAACCGTGAAAGAAAGTTGCTGGTGTCCCAAACTGCTCCTGGACCAAACTTCAAGGGGACGGCGGTAATTCCCCTAAGCGCGGTTGTTTGTTTTCTAACCAATGGTTGCGGTAAACTGTTCCTGTCCCCTGGCATGCTATCTCTCTTATTTGGCCGATTTCTACTCATCTACCACCTCCCGAAGCCTGGTAGAGGCTAGATTCCCCACAAGGTTTCTGTTTTCGCAGTACTAGTATGACCATGTGGACACCTTTACTTTTGGATGGGGGGGGGTGTTCAAGACCAATATTTTTATGACATAAATAAAATGCAGTTGTAACATCCATTTTAAAATATGTACTCACATCTATTCCATTACGTAACAACAACAATGCAATATTAGAGAGATAGGTAGCATTGGTTTAATGCGATCTCATATTTTCAAACATATAGGATATAGCTACATCCCCTTTGTAAAAAGTGGAATGGCTGAGAAACATCTGCAACTAGTTATCAAAGGGAAAGTCCATCGGTCGTACCATTTCAACCATGGAGGGGAGTTACTTATGAATCATTTGCAACGTCAAATGTCAAAAATTTGGAAATTATTACCAACTTTTCTTGCTTCAACTATGTAACATTTATATCATGATTATACATAGTGTAATGCTCATGCTTAGTGTTAAACCCACCTTATTGGTTGACTTTTGATTTCCAACTCCCTATTTCACCGTGTCCTTGGTATTACCCTATGCGCCGTCTTGTCCAAGGAGTTTCAAACACAAGATTTCCTTCCCGTTACCAGCGACATGGACGGTGGAAGCATCTGGCAAATTTTTGTCATTGGACTGAAGGGAAAAACAAATGTCATACAGATCCACAAGGTAACGTTATATTACCATATTTCAGATCTATCAACTTTTAATATTTTCTGAGGCGTGAGGTAGGTACTACTAGTGGACTAGCCTATAATTTCAAGCCATGGCCAACATATTATAGATTTGGTGCTTTTTCGTGCTTTAATAGCTGCCTTTAAGTGCCGGGGCCTTTAGGAGCAGTTTAATACAATGATCAGCATCAAATCTTCCCTGGATCGTTCGTAGCTTGATCGTTCCTTGACTTGATTATCTTCAAACCTGGCTTACACAATTTCCCGCCAAATCTTGTTACGTAGGTGGCCACAGCTGGAAGTTGTTATGGCTGATACCGTTTTTCCATTCCCAGAGTGCATTGCGACGGGGGGCGGGGGGTAAATTTCCCAGGTTGCATAGCACAGGAAGGTGTCCTGTTGACTTAAACAGCTTGTTTTTCTGTGTGTTTTGAGTCAGGGCTCGAAATACTGGGTGCATGTGCACCTTAGTGCACCCAAAATTGGAGCTGTGCACCCAATTTTTTCTAACCAGTGCACCCAAATATTTTTGTAGTAGATTTTGTACATATCAAATCTATAATAGTATACAAGATATTTATGGCATCTAAGTGTCAGAAAAATAACTAAATCTTTGTTGTAGTACTTGCTTAAAATTTTTAAGTTGCTCTCTTTTCAAATGTAGAAAACTTTACCTCAGAAGATGAACTCTGAGCAGATGTATATGTACATTATGGCTCCAGCTGGTTTTGTTGTTCTTTTCATGCTTTTCAGGGCCGATTTTGGCTTTTCTAGTTTTGTACCTTTTTGTCTTCCCAGCTACTTCTCTCCAGAAAATATATTTTACGTGATTGGTAGTTCTTTAAAAATGCTGCATGTGTAACAGTAGTCACATGCCTTTTTTGTATGAAGTTGTAATCAGGCCTTCGATGTCTTCACAATTTATAGGTAGCAGCCCAAAATCAATGTAATTCAAGCCTCAGGATTCTTTAACACAATTTGTAATCAGCTCTGGAAAGTTTGCATAATTTGTAATCAATTCCCACACACAGGTCCTCACTAAAGTGTCTCTTTATACAGGATGCCACGGTGGACGAACTCTTCAAGAAAATCAGTGCGAAGAACAAAATCCCTCCTGAGACCCAGCGTATCATGTACGCAGGCAAGCAACTGGAGTATGGCAGGGGGAAACTTCTCACCGACTACAACATACAAAACAAGTCCAATCTTTTTGTCGTCCTGCGCCTTCATGGGGGTAGCAAACAACTGGATGAAGACGTGGAGACGACGGACGCTCCTGACATGATCAGCTGGGAGGACGACCCCAACACTCCCCGCGCCAAGATGTCCTGTGGACACGCCATCACGCCAGAGACTCTCACCACATACTGCGAGAGTCTGCTGAGGTAACTACTGTTATCTTTGGTACTACGGCCATGGCCATGCTGACTTGATTTTATGGATGACATCCTCTGAAGTCCCCGTAAGTAATGAAGTAATGCGAGTGGGCGAATAAAAAAAGTCCAGAAAAAAAAATGCTGCTAAACCACAGGAATTTGCGGTTGTACATGGCTACTGCAAGTCATGCACATGCTGGCCTTTTGTAGCATCTATGAGTCGGCAAGTTGTATGCCGTACTGGTTTCTAGAGTTCCATGGAGCCTCGGTAGCCTGGGAGCCATGCCTCCATAGTTACCACGAACTCCCTATTGCCGGTAGCCACCATGGACTACAGAGGATGGCACCCAAGCTTCAGCCTCTGAGTTTTTTGTGTGTTTGAGAACAGGCAAAAATCAATGTACGTGGAGATGTCATTCATGACATTCAATCAACTTGGCCTAATGAAGTTCAAATGGAAAGCCATGGGTTTAGGTTCTGGCAATATAGCAAACCATGCACATCTGTATGTTTTTTTTTTCTCTCTTCTTTTCCAAGAACCATAATAGAGTGGAAGTCAATGCCGCCAAGTAAAGGTAGGGCATCACTAGATAGTTTAATCAATGCCTGCAGATAGATGTGCAAAGATTGGGGTCATTCAGTGTAATATAGCTAGCTGCTGCCGTGCCGCGTGCCTGCAAAGCTGGTGTATTATGCCAGAGGGCGTGTCGTACTGGCTATACAGGTACAGATGTAAAGGATTTACAATTAATCAATTGATTAATACATTTTTGCACCCAAGTTACCACACCCACAAGAGCAACTGTGAACATACTAGTACATTCTTTATTTAATTCTAAAGCATCATCACTTTGCTAAACCAAGTTTTTTCTGTCCTATGTTTCAGTGCTGGGAAGTATGTGTTCAAGTGTCCCTACATCAGCCCAGCTACAGAGTACTGTGGGAGGGAGTGGTCCTATCTGGAGGTCCGGCGCCTTGCCGTTCTCACCCTGGATGAACAGAAGCAGTTTGAGATCAAGATCTCCGACAACTACCTCAGGGCCTGTCTGAAGTGTGGCATGCTCATTGAACATGAGAGGGCCTGCAAACACATGGTAATATCCTGTGAATGTGATGACACTTGGCTCTAACATTGCCTGACCTCAGATTCTAATGTTGCCTGATCGTGTTTATCTAGAGTCATGTAGAGTATTTTCTTTACTCTATTAATGCATTCTCCACTTGCATTCTCCATTCTCCGCTTACCTTAGGCCTAGGGATAAAAATGTTGTGTTTCCTGTTTCCCAACCGACCCTAAAAAACTGCCGACCCTAGACTTTTTTGGGGAGGTGGGGGTTGTGAATCCCTGCAAGGGACATAAATTTTTCCAGATGATTGACCTTTTCTAGCTCCGTGATCTGATACCTGGGTGATGTAACGTTGTACAATCGGTTTTCCAACATTGACATTGAAAGTATAAGTGTCCTCATTCACTTTGTTAAACTGTCTTGGATCACTGGAGACTGCCAAGTCTAACATAAGAAAGAAAAAAAAAGATAATCCCTACCTACCGACCCTAACTTTTTCAGGACTGAAACAGGAAACACAACATATTTTTCCTAGGCCTTCCTGTTAGTCTCACATGTAGCCTGCATTTGCACAATCTCTCTCTGGCTGGGGTAACTGTCAGCCGGCCGCTAGGAGCATGATTTAGTCAAGCTAGTCTTAACATGTGTCTCTGTCTGAAGAGAAAGACAGATATTTTTATTCAAGTTATATTTATAACGTTGGGTCCACCCTCCCAAAAAACATGCAGATTGTATGCTGGCACACAGAGGAATTGCTGAAGCATTTCTATGAAAAGTTGTTGTAATAGCACTGTTTTATTGGTACTTAATCGTAGTGATTTAGAATTGTTATCTTTGAGTGTTTATATCTGCTTGCATCAAATCTGAAGTAAGAGCTAAGCAAGTAGACCTGCTGTTGACTAATTTTGAACTAAAAACTTAAACATTTAGACCTAGGTTGATCATATAGAAGTTTCAGTAACAAATTTAGACATCTGTATATTGGTCATCCTAGAAACATTATATATGTCTAAGGAATGGACCCATTTTTTTCATGCCAAAGTTTCATAAAATTATCAAAATGATCTGCAGTTGCAGGTTTATTGAACTACGTGTTATTTTAAATGTCTATAACAGTATTCTACTAGCATATGTAAACTCGCACTGTTTTAGGAATGAATAGAGACAATAGGAAACTTTGAAACTTTATTAGAATAACCATTAGCGGTGGACCCTAGGGTCCACCGCTAGTCTTCCTGGTATTCATACATACAGACAATACATTATACAAACATAGTTGACAACTGGACAAGTCACAAACACATCTAAATCAATCAATAAAATATTTACAATATACATAATTTAAAAAAATTATTAACTGATATTCATTAACTACCAAAGTGGCTAGTATAGGTAGATGTTTTCAGCACCAAGAACAGATTTGTTGGACAGGTGGTGTTTTGGTCCAGGTCGCTAGGTGGTACTCATGTACAAGGAAATCTAACTGAACTGTGAAAGAAAGCTGCTGGTGTCCCAAACATTAAAGGGACGTCGGTTCGATGGTGATTCCCATAAATACAGTTGTTTGTTTGCTTACCAATGGGTGTCTGAAAGCAAATACGACGTTAGATCTTTTTCCCATTGGATACTAGAAGATTGTAGTAAAGTGATTAAATTAATTTTACAAGAAGTGGATTGGCAGGAAAATCTACCAACACGTGAAACTAATTATTAACGGGAGTAAACACAAGCTCTGCAAATGGCGGTCGTGCCATTTTGATGACCGTGGGTCGGGAACTTCCACCAACAAATGTTACCCAAAACGAAATTTCCTAGATCCTTTCATCATTCACTGAATAGTATGATAATATGAACATGTTACTACATGTATTTATTATGTTCTTTGCTTTTCGAACAATGCCTCGGTGTAACCCCCTATTTCTCCATGCCCTTGGTATGATCCTGTACACACCTGCAGATTTTATCTAATTTTGACAGCGCTAGATCCTTCCACCACACAGACACTACACTGAACCGGTGGTCTGGGAACGTATTCCTGGATTTGCCTTCTCTTGATTTCTGTCATGGAGGAAGATATGGACGTAGGGGACGGCGAGGCGGAAGGAGGGAACCGTAGGGTGGACGGAGGAGATCGTCAGTCGGACGGCGAGTCGGACGGAGTGGACCGTGGAGCGGATGGAGGGGACGGGGAGGGTCGTGAGTCGGACGGAGGGGACGGTGAGTCGGACGGAGTTGACGGTGGCGGTGGCGGAGTGGACCGTGAGTCTGATGGAGGGGACGGGGACAGAGAGGACAGTGAGTCGGGCGGGTACGGTGAGTCCAACGGAGGAGATCGTGGGGCGGACAGAGGGGACCGTGACGGAGGGTACCATGAGTCGGACGGACGGGGCGGTGATGAGTCGGACGGAGGGGCGGTGAGTCGGACGGAGGGGACGGTGAATCGGACGGAAGGGGCGGTGAGTCGGAAGGACGGGACCGTGACGGAGGAGACCGTGGGCATGGGGCGGACATAGGCGACCGTGTGGCGGGCAGAGACGGTGGCAACCAAAGGTGGCAACTTTTCGTCAAGGGCCTCGGAGGAAAAACAACTATTATAAGGCTCAACAGGGTATTTGTGAACTTCACTTCAAAGTTTGATATTAAACTTTCATGTTTCTGAGGTTAATGATTGTAGACCGTAAAATTGTTTGTCCCCTTTTATGTTTGGACAAAGGTAGCTCAATCGGCCATGTTTGATCCAGCTGCAAAATCGTAATACTAGTATTTACAGTATGAGAAACAGCTGCAGGAATGTAGGAAAATTTACATCATAACATTCAAACCTGGATGACAGAGTTTCCCGCTTGATCTTGTTGGGATCTTGTTAGCTACCAAATCACCGTGAATATTTCTAAGACATCCTGGACCAAGTCCCACTTTGAAAAAATCTCCTTTTCAGGAGTTCCGGGATCGGTCCTTTTTTTGGTCCTCTTACATAAAATGAATACATTATAGCTATTTGTATTCACTTGTAACTACTTGTTTTACTGATATTTGCCATCTAATGATAACTAGAAAGGCAACATTTGCAAGGCAAATGCATAATGTTTACCTAATGTTTAATTATGCAAATTAGCTCCTGATTTGCATAATTGCCGTCTGATTATGTCAAGCATCACCTCAACTACCTACATACCAAAAATCACGACAATACGTCAACCGGTTCTTGAGTTATCGTCCTTCAAATTTTTTTCAACAAATACTCCTGCAGTTTCAGAACAAGGCGTTAGAGGACCCAAACTCGTGTCACTTCTTCCCTATCCCAAGAGCTATCTACCAACCAAAATTCGTGACCCTAGCATGTCCAGAAAATGAGATATCAAAACCGGAAGTTCAGCTGCAGTACCTAGGAAAGCCGCCAGCTGGGGGCCCAAAATCTAATCATTTCTAGTAGGTCTCATGAAGACCTACCTGCCTACCAAGTTTCATTCCAATCCATCCACTGCTTCTCGAGTTATCTTGCTAAACCACACACACACACACACACACACACACACACACACACACACACAGACAAACGCTACTGAAAACATAACCTTCTTGGCGAAGGTAATAATGATGATGCCTGTCCGCCAAGATTCAGGTGTCTGTCCTTACAGAATGCCACAGTGGACCGTCTCATTAACGTAATCAGCGCGAGTAACGGCATACCTCCGGAGAGCCAGCGAGTCCTGTACACCACCAAGCAGCTAGAGTACGGCCGGGGGAAGCGTCTGTCCGACTACAACATACAAGACAAGTCCACTCTGTTTGTCGTCTTGAGGCTGCGGGGCGGAAGCAGCAATGACACCACCCCATCTTCCTTGAAGACGCTCCCCGAAGACGTGGAGAGCACCGAAGAACCTGACATGATCAGCTGGGAGGACGACCCCAACACCCCCCGGGCCAGGATGTCCTGTGGACACGCCATCACGCCAGAGACTCTCTACATCTACTGCCAGAGCCTTCTGAGGTAAAAACTTGTAAGCTATGACCATCATTAGGCCATGCTGATTTGATTATATCGATGACACCCTCTGGAAACCCCCTTAAATGATGCTAGCGTGCGAAAAAAAACGTTTGGCAAAAAAGTTTTGACATCTACGTGGTTATGAAAGTTGAACAAATGCACAAGAGTATGGTATGGCAAAAAAATAGTCTCATTTTCATTTGTTTACGATCACATTTTATTCCTTCGAAATTTCATATGGAACTGACTTTGGCATTCTAAGACATCGTTTCTACTATCGTTTTCTCATATTTTTGTTGCAATGCACGGCTCATTTTTTGCTCATTATTGCTGCTTTGTACGATTTACAGCAAAATCGAAAAGTTTTTTTTTATTTAAACGAAAATTAATACGCGTGGGACTGCCACCAACCAGATGCAACCATAAAAAACTATGACAGTGCATGTACATGTGAAGCCCGAGCCCTTGATTTAATTCTTAGGCATAATCACTTTTCAGAACAGACTGTTGTCTGCCTGTATAGTGTTTATCATTTGTGTTTCAAAGCCCGGACTAAGAGACTAAGTATTTCGTTCCTTCATTGCGCTGTTCTCTATAACAAGACAATTCTATAACAAGACAATTCACCAGTAGTGTTATAGTATAGCTACATCTGACGTGGTATATATTGTGTATAGATTTTATTTGTGTAATCGATTTCGAAATGTTTCAATAGTGTGCTTGTCATGTTTCATGTGTACAATGAAAGAGTGTAATTAGCTTTTAATGCGTTATGTGCTTATGTAATAAGGACGAAATTCGGGTAGAGCCTTACCGAATAAAATTTGAATTTCAGTGCAGGGAAGTACATCTTCCAGTGCCCCTACATCAGCGAGAGAACCGGAGACCACTGTGGTGAGGAGTGGTCCTACATCGACGTCCGTCGCCTCGCCGATCTCTCTCAGGACGATCAGAAGCGGTTCGAGACCATGATCTCCCAAAACTACCTCCGCAGGGGGAGGGGCATCCAGGAGTGCCCCCGGTGTAAGTCCTACTGCGAGCGGATGAGTAATGTTTGCAGGTACGCCTGTGCCCTGTTATGCTGAGGTCACATTTCCAAACCGGGGCCCGGCCGGGCAGCTTTCGGGAACGAAAAGTACGATATAAAAGTCAACAAAACACAGAAACGTTTTTGATGATAATCATGGGAACTATATCTATATACTCTTGATATGGATTGTTAATTTTTTGTTCATACAAACAGCCCGGCCGGGCCCCGGTTTGGAAATGTGACCTAAGCATTAACGCGCTTTCGGATCGGAACCTGCAGCTTAAACCATAGTCTGTTTATCCGTAAACTAGTTACAAGTCCTTCTTGCAGCTGCGGGTTCCGAAGCGAAGGGAAAGCATTCCTAATTTTTTAATTCTCTTCCCCATTTACACTCAACATCGCATATTGCTTGAGTGCGTCACCACTATGTATTGTATTGTTCACAGCACGAAAACAGACATTTAAGCAAACTCTGTACAGTATGTAAAGAAGTAAATAAGGTAATAAGGTAAGAAAATATTTCAGTACACTTAACGACTTCGTAAAGGCTGCTGAAAGGCCACCTTTGAGTGAGCTTAAATACGACGTAAACATATTTCATATCTTTACGCTTCCTTTACAAATCCGTAAATATAACGTTGAAATAAATAAAGAAAAATGTTTGCAGGCGGGTGGTGTGTCCGCTGTGTACGGTACGGGACGGACAGGAGTACCACTTCTGCTGGTACTGTCTGCACAGTTGGGACACGCCGGGTAACAGCTACTGCGGCAACCATGACTGCAGGGGTGAGGACAGACGACTGGAGATCCTCCGTACCTGCAGCAGGAAGACCATCGTGGGCGTACCGGGCTGTCCTGCCATCAGGGCCTGTCTGACATGTGGTATGCTCATCGAACATGACAGGGCCTGCAAACATATGGTAATATACTCTTACCTTTCAAAGATGGTTGTAACTTGTAACGTTATCTAACTACAGGTTCTAATGTTGTCTGATCTATCACTACAGGTTTAGAGTCATAAAGGGTACTGTCGGTTCAACACTACTCGAGTATAGGCAGATGGCACATGGTATCGGTACTGTACTGTGATGCCACTTCTCGACTTTAAAATTTAACGGTATTTCTTGTATATGGTATATCTTTTGACTTTGCGATGTTCTAAAGATAAGTAAATTGAGCAGAACTTTTCCATGTTGAACGCCTACAGCAGTGTAACGTATGTGGAAATTCTGAATTCGTTTGGTGTCACAATAGAGTCTATATTTCTGATCTGCCTCCCTGTATCCAGACGTGCATCTGTGAGGAGAAGTTCTGTTTCATCTGCCTGACGCCTGCCATCCTCGGTAACTACCAGTGCGGCACTTTCAACAGTCCGTGTGAGGTCGCCGACGTGCAGACAGCTATTCCCGGGGACGACTGAGTGAGATGTCCGAGGAACACAGTCCGCGCTTACGTTCTGTGAGGGCCAATTTACACGGGGAAAAAGCATTTGTCCTACGACCATCAACGCGCGGCGCGTAGGACAGATTGAGCGTGTAAACAGGCCCGCCACCGACACGCGGCGATTTTTGTGTAACACATCTTGGACGCACGTTGATCGTCGTAGGACAAATGATTTTTCCCCATGTAAACTGACCTATAGTCTTCCATGTAGCCTGTGTTTTCACAATCTCTCTCTGGCTGCGCTAACTGTCAGCCCGGCCGCTAGGAGCATGATTTAGTCAGGCTAGTCTTTACATGTGTCTTCATCTGAAGAGAGAGACAGGTACTTTTGTTTTCAAAGACTCAAGATTTGTTTTAAAAATTAATGTGTCGCTATTAAAATATTAAGTTTATAATGTTTGGTCCATCCTCCCAAAAAAACATCTATTAAACTATTTCCACCAAAAGAGAGAGATACTACCAACGTTTTGTTGAAAGAAAAAAACGTTTTTGTTTGATTTTACTCTGTTTTATTTACGAAGATTTTACTTTTGAGATTTACTCTGTTTGCAAGGTTATAATGAAACCTGACTGGTTGGCATAATGAGATGTAATAGCTGAGAAATACATCATCTGCCAACCATAGGCTGTGTCGTAAAACCAGAAACTGGAAGAATTATCGTTTTTTATGAAAAGGACTTTGGTTGTTCTCTCAGAGAACCCGTGGTGAACTTGAAGATCGATTTGCGTATTGGTCATTCCGGAAACATTACTAGTATATATATTCCTTGTGAATGTACTATTATGTTATAAATTCCTTGCCAATGTGCCGTTTTCCCCTGTCATTAGTAACGTTACGTGTACTAGCTTATGTAAACTAGCCTGGGTGCCATCCGATTTGTAACGGCAACCCTGAAAAAATCGCGTCACCCAGGCTATATGTAAACCACTATTCGGGGCAATATGATGTGCTACACAGACGCCATAGCTATTACTAGGGAGGGGCTCTAGTATTTAGCGCAGTCTTATCAAGTTAAACTATACATGATTTATCATACATTGTTTCCTATCCGAGGTGTGCATGTCAACGGTTGGTTTCAGCACCAGGGACAGGCCTGTTTGTTTGACGGATGGCGTTTTGTTTCAGATCGCTAGGGGGCACTTACTAATAGTGAACTAACTGTACTCATTCGCACTCATATTTCTTATGGTTTGTTTAAGGGTTCAATTCAGTTTGCATTGCTTTTGTTGTCCCTTGTTCCGTTTTGGGAACGTAGAATTATCTGCGTTAATATTATACAATAATGGACATCTATGAGGCAGATAATTATGTAGCCTCGAAGAATACAATTGTGTGGCAGAAGTAGATTGATAAAAACAGTATCCTTTCTGTCAGTTTCCGTCTATTGAATTGATTCTATTCAAAATGTGTGTCTACAATCACATCTGCCTTGAACAACTATTTCCTCGATCGCCGATGTAACACAACGCCCGCTACCACCCAGTCTCACCGTACCTACGTTACCACGAAACGAAGTTACGATCTTTGTCGACGGTCTGGGCCAGTTTTCTCTGTCAACAGAACATTTGAGACTGTCCCCTTGTGTACCCCACACATGAGTACTCGAACACCTCATTGTTTTTCGCTTTGCTTTATCTAAGGGAGCAACATGTTTACAAGAGGATCTGTGGGCTCCTATTACCGCCCGATTTTCGTCGAATTACATGCACACGTGCGTTCCTAGGTGATCCCTATCTGACTGAAAGGCGCACGCCTGGTGGTTGGATCAAAAAGCACAAAATGCACTCAGAGAAAGCGAATCTTAAAATCACGATCGGCCGTTTTTGTTTGACGTGTGTGCTATTCAATTAAGCCTGTGTGCACAGTTCCTGGCGAGTTGTAAGCTCCGACTGGGTAATAATTTGCGATAGTATCAAAGTGTCAACATGCCCTATTGTACTGCTGATGGAGTGAACTTGTTAACATACTCCGGGCTGGACGGGCTTTATTTTACGTCTTCACAAAGACGTGTTGGGCGAGTGCCAATGTCTGTAGGCTCTGCGGTCGTGTCGCCAGGACAGGTGTCAAGAACAAAATAGCTAGACCAAATGTGTAGGATTCGAAGGTTTAAAGGAGATTTATAGCAATAGTAGCAGTGTTTAGAGACTGTAATGCCACACTGACTTAATTTTATGGATGACATCCTCTGAATTGAAGACCCCAAAACTAAGAGCAGGTGAATTTAAAAGGTCCAGTCCCAAAAAATGCTGATAAACCACAGGAATACAAAGCTGGTATTTCGCATTAATATTTGCGGTTGTACATGACTACTTTTGGAACAAGCCGGCACATGCTGATTTTTGCAGCATTTATGAGTCTGCACCGTACTCAATTCTAAAGTTCTGTGGAGCCTGGATAGTCTAGTTGCCGTCCTCCGTAGTTACCGCCGGCTCCCTATTGACGTTAGCTACCATGGACTACGTACGGAGGATGGTACCCAGGCTTTAGCCTCGGAGTTTTTTTGTTGTTTTTTTTTAGAACAGGCAAAGTTACGGACTTAAGAAATGGCTCTTCCCGCATTGCCTTTCATCTTCAGCCGACCCGAGGCCATGGGCCCTAAAACAGCTTAGAGGCCTTAACTCCAAAATCCAAACGTGACGAAGTAGCACAAAGGACAGCTTACATACTCCCCACCTCCGGCCCGGGTTTTTGTTTCCCCGCACTCACTACCCTGACGGTGTTACTACGGACTGGGCCAGTCTCGAGACTAGTTACCCGCGTTACGTCCGAAGGGAAGCGGAGAATTCAAAGTCTGTAGTCCGTAGCCGGTGTGACAGGCATCGGTGAAAGATATGCGTGTTTGTTCAGCGCACCATGCGCCGGAGATGTCTGGGTGAATAGAGACGGGGCCAGGATAATACGCACAAGATTTATAGACCAAAGACGCGCCCAAGTCACGGAGCGGAGGTTTGCTATAGTATATATGGGCCGTGGTAAAACCTTTAGATTGTCGGACACTGATTGCTTTTCTGTGAGTCAGCCTTGTTTGTTTGCGAGCTTGGTGAAAACATGTTGTGATCAACCGTCACGTGCACTTCGATTGGTGACAGAGGTCGCCTTGGTGAGACTGCCCGAGGCGTTCCCAACGGTTACGGTACATGGGTAAATACGTACTAGTTGGAACAGGGAAGTGGTTATGGCGCAGCCACAGCTGGCGCTGCCTGCGGTCGGGATGGACAGCAGGAGGCGACAAGACGTGGATCACGCGTACAGAATGAACGGCGTGAAGCTACCGAGGGTGGTGGACGACCGAGTGTTTCTTGTGAAACGAAGCACGCAACAGAGGGCAGGTGGAAAGCAAGGGAAGTCGCCGCTGCCAAGCGACCCTGGAACCAAGAACAGGAACGAGTCGCGCGCGCGATCGTTCTCCAAAGTGCTCAAACCTCTGCGTCTGTCCTACTCGCGCGGTTCGGAGGCAGAACTGAAACCTGTCCGCTTCGGGCACTGGGGCAGCGCGGAGGGCCAGCTGAAACGGCCGCGGGGAGTGGCGGTGACGAGCTCCGGGCAGATCTACGTCGTCGACGCGGGGAGCGAGCAGATCCAGGTGTTCAGTCCGGAAGGAGAGTTCATCCGCAGGTTTTTCACGGGCAGGGGCAACACCAGGTCAGACCCGTGGGGCATAGCGGTGTTCCACCACGGTGTCCTCGTCACGGACGCCGAGGAGAGTGTCGTCAACGTCTTCAGGAAGACCGGCCACTTCGTCGGGCAGTTCGGGAAGGGCATCCTGCACAGACCGTGCGGCATCGCCGTGGACCCCAAAACGGACACGATATTCGTTACCGACAGGGAATGTGTGAAGGTCTTCCTCGGAGAGAACGGGGTGCTCATGAACATGCTGTACTTCTACGGTTGCGCGAACCCGTATGGATGTTATGTTGACTTCAAGTATCCCTTACCGTACCATGTTGCAGTTGACAAGGGGAACGCTGTCGTGTCCGACTGGAGAGAACATTGTGTGAAAGTTTTTGATATCGAGAACGGCGTCCTTATAAAGCGGATAGGGGCACGTGGGGCGCGGGTAGGAGGTCTGGAGCACCCGCGTGGAGTGTGCTTAGACCGGGCTGGTAACGTTGTTGTCGCGGACCATGGCAACAAACGTGTTCAGCTTTTCGACTGTAGGAAGGGGTACGGGTTTGGACGGTACGTGGCCACCGAGGCGGACGGGGTACGCTCCCCGGAGGACGTCGCGCTCGTGCCCGACGGTAGGTTCGCTCTAACCGATAGCGATCGGCATTCCGTGACCCTGATCGGCACGGGCCTGGGCACAACTACAACCTCACTGGACCACCTTTTCTACAACGCCTCGTCTAGAGAGAGATCCGCGAACCATTTTGTCTCCGACTCCGGTCCAGACATCTCTGACAAAAACGAGGACCTAGACTAAAAAAAAAAGAAATCCTGCGCCTAATTATTATGTAATAGTCCTATTTGATTTGATTTATTAGGCTGTACAAACAGATATACATGTATACAGCCAGGAATCCCCAACTAGCCGGAGGCTATTATAAAGGGCTAGCCCTCACAACAAAGAACACTAACAATTCGGAACAGGTAACAGTTAACAGTGCCAGTTACACTTCAGATAAACATACTATTACATAACAGATGTTGCGGCCTAACGTTAACAAGCTATGCAATCTAGCCTTACTTTTGTTCAGACATTGATGCGGATTTGCATAGCTGCCCCTGGCTATCTCTAGAGCTCTAAATCCACTTGCAAACTAAGGATTACAAATTTATCGTCTAGCCTGATTTGAACTCTTCGCTGCACACTGTGTTCTTGTTCTGAAGGTACATAAATGTAACTCATAATTTACGGCTGAATGTGTTCACAGGTGTGCGAACCGGAACTGTATTTTACAATGTATGCAAGAGGACTCCAGAAAGAGTAGTGGTGTATTGTCACTGAAATGCGTATCCACCTGTTTTGCCTTCCATTCACTTTGTGGAAAATCCTAGTAAACAAATAAACAAACAACTGGCACGTTTAGGCTAAGGTTTCTGTACTTAACAATTTCTCGTCGCAATGTTTCATAGTAATGAATGCGCATTAAGGAAGTCCCAAATTTTCTATCACGAATTTCTAATGCTGAGAGCTTGGTCAGTAACATGCGAAATTATATATGTTAGAAGATTAGAATGTTTCTCTATCAATTTGTTACAATTTTTTTCAGCTTAGGACAAATACAGTGACTGAACAATGCTCCAATCGAAGATTACTAGTATGTCTTTTTTTTCAATGTGCAAACAATACAATACACAGTGGTGACGCACTCAAGCAACATGCTTATATTCACGTCACCACTAGACATGAAATAAAAATTACAGCACAAGACAAAATAATGTCACATGGGTAACGTCCAGGTAACAAGAAAACAGAGTTAAGCTATTAAGATATTATAAATTAATACAGAACTACATGTATAAATCAGTTATCAAATCGCTTGGGTTCAGAACGATATAGCTGTGTAATAGTGAGCATTTGAGAGTTGACTTTAGATGAAAGTAAAGGTGATCCATTGAGTAACAAATACACAATAGCACTAACGGATTAAAGTTGTTAATATCTAAGAATGGGATGTTCAATTGTAAAAGTCTGTCAAGGAAGCGTGCACGATGTTGGGAGTATATGGAGCAGTGAAGTAAAAAAAGAGGAATGCTTTCGCTTCGGAACCCGCAGCTGTAAGAAGGACTTGTAACTAGTTTACGGATAAACAGACTATGGTTTAAGCAAGGAGCTTTCATCGATGAAAGCTCCTTATTAGTTTGAGCTACAGATTATGTCTGGATAATTACATCGCAGTTCATAACTACAGAGCTTAATTACCTAACTAGAGATATTAAAGACCCGGTGATTGTCCCTGTGGTGCGGTGTTTGACAGTTGTGTACACCACCACCAGGGTTTATCTGACAGGTGCACAAACACACTAACCCGTTGCTATAGCCGATAATCATTTCGCAAGGCCGGATCTCTGGTCTTAAGGCATTAGGCCATGTTGATTTGATTACATGGATGACATCCGCGCGCATGAATTTTCGGCCGTTTCCAAAAAAAAAGTTTTCAACCATTCTGTAAATCGTACAAAACAGTTGCAAATGAGCAAAGATATACCGTAAGTTGCAAAAAAAAATATCTAAAATTAAACCGTACCAATGTCGTAGAATGCCAAAATCAAACGAAAAAAGACGGAAATTTAAAGAAATGAAATACTAGTAGTAGATTATTCGCCAAACCATATTCTGCCTCATTTGTTCAACCGTCATGACCACGTAGATTTCATAATGAAAGCAACTTTTTTTTTTGCAAAACTTTTTTTTATTCGCACGCGCGCATCAGTTGTGGGGCTCCCAGAGGATGTCATCCATATAATCAAATCAACATGGCCTTATTCCCACGCGCTATAGCAACCGTAAGCTACGAAGGGAAGGGTGCGTCAAACAAATACCACGTTATAGAGCAACTGTATAATCACATTATTGGGGTAATGTCTGTCCTACGTGTGGCATTTGGAATACGTGCTCTCCAGATGTCGTTCAGGGCTCGAAGTCCTCTTTTCTGCATACCTGCACTGGTGCAGGTAACACTGAAAGTTTTCTACACCAGACAAATTTTACCTCCACCACTCATCAGAATTTAGGGACTATAGATCATATCTATTACTAATATTTCTTTTAGACTTCATACATAGTTAACGTATTCAGCTCCAATTTTACCTGCACTAACCTGCATATACCCAGTACATGGACCAGTGCAGGTTAGGTGCAGGTAGACATCAGAAATACCTGCACAGCTCCAATTTTAGCTGCACTAACCTGCATATACCCAGTACATGGACCAGTGCAAGTTAGGCGCAGGTAGACATCAGAAATACCTGCACAGCTCCAATTTTACCTGCACTAACCTGCATATTTCAGTCACCATAGTTATGTTTCGGTGTACAAGTATGTGACCCGTGCAATCGTTACATACATATACAATGTACTGTGTTATTTGCACGCTAAACAGTTACCAATAAAACCATTTGATTGCCTACAAATGACCTAATTTCGTTGCACTGTCCACAAGCCAAACTCCACAGCCACTTGATGCATTCTGGTTGCTATGTGCTTTTGACAGATGTAAGCCTTGGAACTATATCTATGTCACTGAACAGCTTGTGGACTTGGTATACTTTCTGTAGGATAATCATTAATGTATGATGTACCATGACCACTTGCTGAAGACTGGGTAGATTTGAATACTACATTATATGTAAATAGCCTGGGTGTTATCCGTTTTATAATGGACCTCCTTGCACTTACTACCTCAAAAGTAGCGAGGAACCGGTTTTCTGGGTAGGAAGTGCAAGGAGCCGTTACAAAACTGATGGCACCCAGGGTAGTATATAAAACCATAACAAAGGAAAATTTGTACGACATCCCATTAGGCCTCCTTGTGTTTGTGTGTATATCTATTTCATGTTTGATTTCCTAATGTCCCCTTTATTAAGAGCACATATTTTTCAATCCATTTTGGTACTATACACTTGAGTCTTACTATTCTCCAAGCAGATTTATTTGGGTCAAGACACTAGAGTTGGCCAGCCCATAACTAGTTCTATGAAGAAATCTATTTGGAGATTACTAGTTCATGCAGTAGGGGGTTAGTCCAATGGAAGCTGTACCATTATACTATACTCATTACTACTGTAAATCACGATTTTTTTAGTGCTTATGTATTCGCAGTTTTCACAGGCAATTCTGTGCCGCAAACTTCATTACGATAAACAAATAATTTGCTTTCTTTTTGCTGCACCTGCCGTCACTGTGAACATATAATTTCGCAAACCTGTCCATTTTTCTCAGACTGAGAACTTTTGCTACTACGAACATAAAGTGATTTACAGTAAAAGAAAACGTGTAATGTGGCAGAGGCATTGATACACACAAACCAAGAACAATATGTACAAGACAAGACCATCACTACCAATGTGGGAATGTTCTTTATTCAGGAGTTGGACAGCAATAGAAAAGTCTTCCAGCTCTGAACTTAGTCAGATGTGGCAGATAAAAGTACCACTTGTTTCTTTTACAAGAAAGCTTTCTTATGATGAATGTCATGAACAAAGGCTGAAGAAATAAAAATAGGTTCTAGTCCTACTCTAGCAAGAAATGCTGCCATATGATGTGCCCCTCTACCACAACACAAAAGTGTGATAAAAATCTAAACGCTTCTTCTTTGACTAAACGTATCTCAGTTTTAAAGAAAGTTTGTTGAAGAAGTGAAATCTTCCTCAATATAACTATCAAGCTGTATGGTCAACAGTGTCAGTAGTGGGACATAGTACATGTACATCAAGGATCTGTCCTAGACAGGGTAGTCTACTTCAACTACCACAGAATCCTATCTGAAAACATTCATAACTGTTACACATACTGCTCTCTAGTTTGGTAGGAAGATAAGTTGTGGTTTGGCCATTCACCGTAAGGTTTTTGGGGCATATAAATTGTACAATACAAAATGAAATGTTGACGTCTACAAGTAAGTACAAAAAAAGCTCCAGTCCTCATTTAGCGGCAGTGGCGAGCGGATTACGGAGAACCAGGATGACCGAGTCGCCTCGTAGGAACATCTTGGAGATGTAGCGATCCTTGTTGATGGGTTTGGACTTCTTCTTGCCTTTTCCTGTCTTTGGCACCTCTGTCCACATCTCTTTTACATTCTCTAGGACCATGTTGCAGTGTCTGTGGAGAGGAAAACAACAGCTTGTTTTGTTTGTAGAAGAATACACAAAGCAAATGCACAATGTTTACCTTCGCATATGGCCTGCGATGTTAAGTCTTACTCAAACACATTCATTATACTAGTATATGTGACAGGAGTCTAAATCCCTCCTGCTATAAAATTGCAACATGATGTAACCTAACACCAGTTTCCATGGTGAGAGACGTCTGGCCGAGGTCATTGACCTTATGTGTTTTGAGGAGCATGGTCTGACATGTTTTGTTTGTGTCTTTGGGGGTCACCTGTGACACTGGTCTTATTTGTGAATCTCCTTATTGTCTAAAACAAACAAAAAAACAAACAAACAAACAAACAAACAAAAATAATGACTGTAGTCAGCTTCTTAATCTATAATCACTACATATTGAAAGCCCCTAAATACACAAGTTATGATAATGTGTATACAAAAACTAATACTTTTTGGACTCATACATAAAAATTATAAGACTGTACCTGTCAAATGCCTTGACTCTGGCCAGAAGTTTCTTGTTGTTCCTGCAGTTGATGAGGACCTGAGTGTTGTTCTTGACAGACTGGGTCAGCACTGAGAGGGGGCCTGTTGGGGGTTAGGAGTTAAATGTTTGTCACTTAAGCACAACATGTAATCAATTTCATGCCATTGTTCATATACCTCAGGGCTCGAAATATGACCCAACTGGTGCATGTGCACCTTGGTGCACCCAAAATTGGAGCCATGTACCCAATTTTCCCCCGCAATTGCACCAAAATATTTTCATAAGTTTACATATGTAAAGATATTAATGTTAAATGTACATGTATAACATAATTAGATAAATAAAACGTTACAACAAATGTTACTAGCATATAACATATTCTTGATATCTGATTCTGAATGTTAGAAAAGTTATGAAATCTTTGTTGTAGTACTTGTTTATAAGATATGGTGCACTCAAATATTTTGTGCACCCAAATAAAGAAAAATTGTATAATTTTAGCTGCCGATTTTTTTCCCCAAAATGAATTTCGAGCCCTGTACCTTGAATGTTTATGCTAAGATTTAGCCCCTGTTTACAGGCCAAAAGTCACCAACAAGTTAGCTAACATATACAATTTGTTTTGTCTCACATAAGGTGACAAACGCCTGAAAATAAAGGACCGTCCATGCCAGGTAGTGCTTTGTTCATGAACCAGAGAGAGAAAGAGAAAACAGCATGCACGTCTGCCCCCCTCCCCACCTCGCGATGTTTCTCACCCGTGTTGAACTCCTCCTGTTCCCTCTGGGCCAGCTCCTCCGGCGTCATCTCACTCTTGGGCTTCGACATCGTTGATGAACAATGTTTTATTTCCTAAAAAATGGTGAATATTCTCTCCGTTTAAGGAGAAATGTTGTGATACCGGGCAAAAATTCAGATCAACGTGACGCGCGCGTCACTTCTTCCCAGCATGCTTTCTTCATTCAAGGACCCATAGGCATTCAAAAACATTTCATTTTGCTAACTTAATATTTAATCGTTAGGCTTATCAAACGGACTAAGTATGAAAGAATGGATTTGATAGGATTCAAAGTATACCTTTTTAAATGTAAACTTAAGAGGATTGGTGATGTTTTTAGTGTTTCACTCATGATTTGGTCATCAGATAATAAAAGTGAGCGCTTTGGGGTCTTCCCAAAATGTTACTCTCGCGAGATTTCGAATTCCCAGACGGAATAAATATGGCGGCCAAACATTTGGCGGCTTTTACAAAACGATCGTCATGAAAAATCATATTAAAAACACAAATAGACCGCTAGTCGTGACTCGTATGTGTGTTCATGATGCCGAAGAAGAGGACCAAGTCGGGAAAAGGTACCAAAAGGAAAGGTGAGTTCCTTGTGTTACTTTAAAAGCCCTCAAAATCCGACATATATAGAAAGGTAGAAAGACCCAGAAGTGTGAACAACAACAACAACGAACGATCAGCCAACAAATTTAGTACGACTATAGAGGTTTAAAAGGAATGAGATGTAAAGTAAGGCTTTGCAACAAATCTTTCGACTAAAGGATTCAAGCACATTTTTTGCTACTCTACTCTACTAGTACTCTACTCTACTCTAGTAGACTACTCTACTCTACACTACTCTACTCTACTCTACTCTACACTACTCTACTCTACTCTACTCTACACAACTCTACACTACTCTACACTACTCTACTCTACTCTACACTACTCTACTCTACTCTACTCTACTCTACTGCTCTACTCTACTCTACTGCTCTACTCTACACTACTCTACTCTACACTACTCTACACTACTCTACTCTACACAGTACACTACTCTACTCTACTCTACACTACTCTACTCTACTCTACTCTACTCAACTCTACTCTAAAAGCTACATACTCACAAAAAAGCAAATTCATAGCCTTAATATTATTACTAGTATTACACAGTGTAAGAAAGCTGTGTCAGTTATGATAGTTGTCACATAATGCTGTGTTATGACGTTTTGAAGTTAAAGTTGTATCCAAATGCCTGACAGTGCACAGTGATGACATCCCTCCATCCACGAGCCTCCCCCCGTTAGTGGATGGTCAGGTCCGGTGTTCACTGAAAGTCACTGTAAGTAAAGTCATCTGGACTGTACCAACTCCTCCGGAGGTAGGCTACGTCAGACTCAAGTGGTGGGGAGAACAGACAGATGGCAATATTTTCAGGTAAACAACAATTTCTATGATATTATTTCTGTGGAAGGATTGACATAACAGGTGACTATCACCTCTTCAAGATGTCAGACCTGAGACCAGACTGTAAGGTTTGAACCACTCACACTGGGAAGGTCCCCTACTCTTTTCGATATAAGTGCGGTGGGTTCTTTAACGTGCGTGGGGTGTGGCTCTCCCAAACAGGGGACCTCCATTTAACGTCCATATTTCCGAGGGACGTCCCAAACCAAAGCTAGGTACTCATTTCCACCTGAGTGAAGTGACGAAAGTCGTGTAAAGTGCCTTTCCCAAGGGCACAAGATCGGTGGCATCGGGCAGGATTCGAACCCTCAACCTCTTGAGTCTGGGCCGAACAAGCTACCGCTACGCCACACGACCTCACTAACGCTTAGCCTTTGTTTTGAGTAAAAAAAATGTTTTATTCCCATAATTTTATTTTTTTTACTTCCCACACTTTTGCTTAGAAATAGCCAGGGAATTTGATTTTTAACCTCCTTAGAAATAGGATAATGATTAACTGTGTTGAAGAGAATTGTAGTGACACACTATGTCATGATCTGTTTATTTTGTCTATTCAACAGGCCACTTGATGTGAAGAATCCCAAGAAGGATGTTGTGAAGTCTACCTGCAGATATCCCATCAGATGTGGACCCAAACAGTTCTCAGCTTACCTCAATGATATCCTTTCATTCTGTATCGTAGTGTATGTAGACATCCTGGCTGAAAGTCATTGGGGAAGTTATTAATTATGTATACCAGGTCCTGTTGTGGTACCGAATGGCCAAGTAAAGTGGTTTGGCTAGCAGACACAAGACCAGGGGGTCATGGGTTCGATTCCTGGCATTCCTAGCAAGACATTGTGTCCTTGGGAAAGGTCCATAAGGCCATGTTGATTTGATTATATGGATGACATCCATATGGCACATGAATTTTTGGCCGTTTCCAAAAAAAAAGCTTTCAACCATACTGTAAATCGTACAAAACAGTTGCAAAATGAGCAAAAATATACCATAAGTTACAAAAAAATTAATAAAAACTATACCAATGTCGTAGAATGCCAAAATCAAACGAAAAAAGACGAAATTGTAAAGAAATTAACTTGAAGACTAGATTATTCGCCAAACCATATTCTGTGCCATTTGCTCAACCCTCATGACCACGTAGATTTCATAATGAAAAGAACTTTTTTTTTTGCAAAACTTTTTTTTTATTCGCACGCGCGCATCAGTTTTGGGGCTCCCGGAGGATGTCATCCATATAATCAAATCAACATGGCCTAATGCTATCTACTAAGTATGTTTGATCAGAAAATCATGCAAGTTGCAAATAAGCCGCCCCCCCCCCCCGAAAAAAAAAGACCAATCCCAGAACGCCTGCAAAGGAGGCTAACCTTGTCTTATTTGGACAGTATTGTCATTGTTATTATTTGGCTCGTCTCTAACTGCATTAACCTCAGTTCCCAATTTCCCCAGCATGCAAAGGGATCCATGTATGGCCTGCTTCAACAATACATGTTATATGGTATGACGTTAGGAATCATTAGTCATAACTGACACAGTGACAGTTACTGGTGTGTCATCCTTAACTATGCTTACATATGGCATCCATGGTTTTAGAAGTCCTCAGCGGTCCTGACCAGGTGCCTGTTGGACGGGCACAAATAAACCAGATAGGTCAGCTGGGACCCAACAGGCCCATCAATGGGTAGGTTATATATAGTTCTGTGTTTTGTAGTAGGTATCATTTTGATTTATGATAGTCATTAAAGATGAAGATGTAACGATTAACGATGTAACGAAGCTGGTGTGTTACGCCGAAAGGCGGTTATACCGGCTATACAGATACAGATACAGATTAAGCCACACCGACTTAATTTTATGGATGACATCCGCGTGCGCATTGATTTTCGCCTGTTTTAAAAAAGACAAAAAAAAGATCATGTCCACCGAGGCTCTGGCCTGGCTCTAGGCCTAGTTAGTCCATGGAAATTAGCGACAATACGTAGCCGGTGGTAACTATGGAGGAGAATGGCACCCAGGCTACCGAAGCCCCACAACTCAAGAACTCAGTACATACATACAGTGCAGATTCATACATTCTGCAAAAAGAGTGCATTAGTTTGGAGGTCTTCAGAGGATGTCATCCATAAAATTAAGTCAGTGTGGCCTTACACTTTATTTTTAGTACTTTAAGTGTTTAAAGTTCTTGTTGTGCTACTTTACATACACACATTAACTTATAAATTATACATAACGGATCATACAATATGTTTTGACTTTTCCAGGTTCTTTTCTGTGTATTCACCAGAGCCAGCCAAGATTGGAGAACTTCACGTGTCTCTCATGTTAGAGTCTTTGTTAGGTATGAAACAGACTAACCACAGTAACAGGAACTGTAGATGCTGTACACTGTTTTTATATGTCATAAACAAAGGTTGAAATCTTTAATACATGTACTTATTTGTCACATTATGATATAACTCTAATGAAGTTTAAAGGTTTGTTGATAAATGTTTTTTCACAGAAAACCATAGAACCTTTTGCATGTTAACAGAAATGTTTCCATGTTCAGATTATTCTCTGTCAGTGTTACTGTTAAGAATACCCATCTGCAGTCTGCATTTTGCAGATAAATTTTCAATGTTGCAGAAGGAAAATTAAGCAACCTACAATTTTGCTGTAAAAAATGAACAGAAAAAATTAGGATATGGGTTCAATTGTGTCTGTAATATTGTTTAGGTGGAGCTTTTATGCTTACTACTGACTTAACGATTACTAAAATGTTTGCCAACATGCAATTTTGAGTCAGGGTTTGAGTCAGGGCTTCAAAATAAAAGTGTAAATTTGCAGAAAGTTTTCCAAATTGCAGAACAAATATTCTGACATTCTGAAATATTGCAGAACTTTAAAAAAAGTATTTCTACCACTGTCTTAATTGTTGTATTTTTTCCAGCCACCTACGATAGTTCAGGATCAGTCCCTACTACAGACATGAGTGTGGATAGCCTGGACCCAGGCCAGCTGTCAGGCACACACCGGCCCTCCACTGCCCCTCAGCCCATCCCAAAGTCTGTCCTAGCTGGGTCTAGTGACGACCCCTTCACTTCTCCAGCAGTGGGAGTAAGTCTTTTTTATCCAAAGTCTTGAGAGGCTTTTTTGAGAATTGTTAGGAGATTGTTGTTAGGCAACTGCTTTACGGGCAAAGCGCTAGTCTTTAATTTTTAAAAGTCCAGGAAACAAGAACTTATGTCAATGTTACTTGTAGGAAACTGTAGAAGAGGTGATACATGTAGCATCAAGGCAAATTCAGTTAAGCGCATTACAGTATAAATAGATTCAAGAAATAGTATCTACATGTGCACACAGTAGTGTATGCACCAGTGCTGCATGTGTGCAAAGCCTACAAGAATAGCTTTCAAGCATTGAAAAACTTTTTTCTGCATACTAGTACCCACACTGGTGCAAGTAACGTTAGAAATTACTTGGACCAGACAAATTTTACCTGCACCACTCAGAATTTGAGATGGGTCATTTGAAGAACTGAACCATCCTGTTTTGTTTTGCGCAGCAAATTCATAGTCTTCTGAGACCGACTGACAGTAGTAGTAGTGATTTGTGGCGGCACAACACAGTATTAGCCCTATGGGGATTTCTATAGTTAAGGACCCCAAAGTGACTCACTTCGACTCATTGAAAATCATAGTAGCAAGCAAGGTTCAGAATTTTGATATGTTTAATTTCAGGGTATAGTGTACAAAACATGTGAAAATGAGCTTAGATTTGCCGGCTAGTTCTCTTCTCATGCCCTCTTTTATTAGCGCCACTGCGGAGGTCATCAACTGCAGCCGACGCACAGTACTAGGCGGGACAAAACTGACATATTCCTCTAACATTCACCACAGGTTCTATCTCGATGCCATGCACAGAACAATCTCTGCACCCGTCTCTAGTATTGTGCAGCACTTCTTTGTGCCCAGATTACTTTTGACTACGGGGTTCGCCCATAAATACTGTGTTGTGGGGCCTTGTGCAAGCTTGTACATTTCACACAACCCTGAGTGTTAACACGAATGTACTTATCATCCATCTATGTTTCAGCATGTGAGATCTGCCACCCTACCGTCCGTTGTCCCTCGCTCAGCACACAGCTCGGGTGAGGAGGTGCGGACACCCCAGGGGGTAGACTCCCAGCTGTACAGGAGAACTCCCAGTCAGACTGTCCCTGGTCATGACAGGGATGGGAACACAGTGTCACAGCAGGGGCTGGGAGAGAATAGACAACCTAGAGAGGAGACTGGGAGTGGGACTTCTCTCAGTGATGGGTCCAAAGTCGATGACAGCAATATTAAAGGTAGGACAGAGACTGCTGGTTAGCATTTCCTTCACTGTGTTTTATGCATCCGTAAATAATTTCCATCAGGGTGGTGAAATATTGATTAGTAAAATTGAAATTAGAAGTTCTTCATTGCCATCGGCATCATCAAGTGTTGGCCTCCATCTTATGTGGCCTAAGTTTTGCCCAAACAACATTGCATATACCAAATTGGGTTTAGGTCCGGACTTAAGAGTCTGGAACTGAACCTAAACCTCTGGACTTGAATCCGGATCTGAACCTAAATGTGGGTTTACAGGGCTCGGAATTCATTTTTGGCAATAGGTGCACTGGTGCACCCAACTTAAAAATTAGGTGCACAAAATAATTTTTGGGTGCACCATACAAAACAAAACCAGATCTTACTGCTTCTATTCTGAGCTTCAATCTGAAATGGAAGCTAACTTCAAGTACTACAAGAAAGACTTTATAATTTTTCTGACACTCAGGAATAGTATCCTGCATGCTATTATTAAAGTATAGTATTATACATTTCATAATTGTACAAAAATACCTACAAAAATATTTTGGTTCACTGGTGCACCCACAGAAAAAAATTGGTCGCACAGCTCCAAATTTGGGTGCACTAAGGTGCACATGCACCCAGTATTTCCAGCCCTGGTTTAGGTACACAGCACCACCTTGAAGTTTGAAAACGTGTGTTTGTATCCCAGCTCCCATCCCAGGAGACCTGATCTCAGAGCTGCTGGACCGCGGCACCAGACTGAGGGATGCCATGGTTAAGGCACAGGTACAGACAGAGGTGGATCTCATCAACACAAACAAACAACAACAACAACAAATACCGGACAGTGTGGAGGACCATAAAGGGGCTGTATCAGAAAGGTAAGATTTGTAATGTTTGGAATTATTTATCAGGGCTTGAAATGCATTTTTCTGCATACAAGGCACCGCTGGTCTTATGTCCCCCTAGTGTCTGGGGCTGGTTTTGCCATGTCCCAGTACAGGTTAGGTGCAGGTAGATACCATAAATACACATGCCCGTAGCCAGGATTTTGAATGGGGGGGTTCTTCCCACTGCTAGAGGGGACCTCGAGCGCCATAGGCGTGAGGTTCCTAGGGGGGTCTGGGGGCATGCTCCTCTGGAAAATTTTGAAAAATGAACCTTCTAAAATGGCATTTTGTGCATTTTTTAGAGGATTTCCAAGAAAAAATCAGAGATAAATTTTTATTCAATGACAAAGGGAGCAGTTTTTCCAGTCCATCTTTTCAAGAAAAATCTTGGACCTTTACATAAAAAGTGGACCAAAAAGTGGACCTTTGAGGCTTGTGGGGTGGTTCTTCCGAAACCCCCCTGGCTACGGGCATGATACAGCTCCAGCTTCACCCACCATCGTGTGCAGGGGGCATTTTGAGCACTGGTCATGGATAGACTGAAGTATTTCCCTAGTTGTTGCATCACTTTTCCTTACTCTTGGCAGAATAACAACTTACACCATAAACTACATTTTTTTGTCTGATGGTGATGCAAATGATTTGGATACTCATGACTTTTATATGTCCAGGTAATAACTTTTGACATTCAAACAATTGTGTGTCCCTGCCCAGAAGAGACGCCACAGCTGGACAGCTCCTCAAGCAGATACTGAGGGCGGAAAAGGACGGGAAGATTTCCACTACAGCTGATTCTGACGATGAAGACATTGAGGGAAGGGCAGTGGATCTAGTGTTCGGTATGTCATGTGGTATACTCTCTCTACCTACTGTTCTAAAATGATATTCTTTCGCACACACTTAAAAGAAAATATAAACTAGTAGAAAGGTAACATTTGCAAAGCAAAATCATACTGATATTTACATTTGCATAGGTCTGCTCTGTTAATTCATACTCAAACACATTCATATATATGGTTAGACTGGAGTATAAATCCCTCCTGCTATAAAATTGCAACATGATGTAACCCAACACCAGTTACCATGGCAACAGCCATCTGGTTCAGGTCATTGACCTTTTTGGTTTGGAGAAGAAGAGGACACTGAGAAAGAACAATATGTTTTCCTTTGGTAAACATAAAAATCAGAAGGAAACTATGTTGTTTTTCCTCAGTTTTTCCTTCGTATTTTTCTCCGAACACATAAGGCAATGACTTGGACCAGATGTCTGTCACCATGGTAACTGGTGCTGTAGCAGACACCCTGTGGTGTTGGATTACATTATGTAGCAATGGCAGGACATAGCTGGAAGAGCTGGTCACCATATACATGACTGTTTATGAGTAATTATAAATAGAGAAGTAGTTTGTTAGGCTAGTCCATGTGAAGGTAAACATTATGCAATTGCTTTGCAAATGTTACCTTTCTAGTAAATACTAACATTTTTTATCAATTTCGTTTACAGGTGACAACTTACCAGCAGACATTAGAGCCCTAAAAGTTTTGGATGGTTCCCCTGGATCCAGTATCTCCTTAGATACAGACAACAGTGATCCTGGGGACCCTATACATGATGAGAGCCTACTGAGGGACCTGTTCTACACAGGAGTGGTAAGGCAAACATGTACTGAAAAGACAGTTTGTTACTTCCATTAAAATGGAGGTATTTCTTTTATCTGTCTCCCTACTGTACATCTATGTGTGAGTGTGTACATGTGTGTGTGTGTAATGTATGTGTGTGTGTGTAATGTATGTGTGTGTGTGTAATCTGATCAGCATGTGCTCGTTACTTTCACAGGTGTTAGTTGTTACATGACCTCCTTGACAGCTGTTGCCCTTGCATGCTAGGAGATTGCATCAGCCAATTTAGAAGTGCACTAGGTAGCAAATGGAGGGTTTTGTTCAAGAGAGATTTTAAACCCCTCCTAAAAAGTAGTGACTTGTAAAATAATATTCTATGGAGGTCTGGGGTGTCCCCTTCTTGTTAAAAAGATTCTTGTGCAAAATGTGACTTGTATATTTTTAATCAATTCCACTTTTGCAAGGATACACTTTTATTTAAGGAAATCTCTTATTGTAGGGCATTTTTTCTAGTCCAACATTTGTAACTACAATGTAAGAGAAAATTAATGTTGTGATGTTCTTATGCAGGCCCCCAGTGAGAGCAGCCTGAGTGACTTCTCTACTGATGAAGAGGACATCTCTCTACATAGACAGGATGACCAGCAATCAAACAAGTCAGAAAAGAGGAGGAAATCCCTGGAAGATCCCGGAAACAGGGTCAGGATTTTAGTTTAAGAAGACACAATAGATAATTACTGTGACTACATACAATTAACTTTTAACATTTTGTCTTACTTGCCTTGCGCCATCCTCTTACTATTCCAAGAGATAAAGGGCTGTCTTAGACTTTACCCAAGCAAGCTTTTAAATTGTATACATGTAAATTGTAATAAGGCCACACCAATTTAATTTCTTGGTTAACGGATTTTTCTAGAAAAATAATGGAGCGGGCGGGCGAAAAAAAAAAAATAAAAACTGGCCTAGGCATCCTATTATGGCCCAAAACGGTACCATAGGAGCCATGAAATCAACACACCAGGCTGGTTCAAAACTTAAACAATGAATTTTTAACTTTTAATGATACCATTGCATTGAAAGATGGAATAACTGTAACAACTAGGATGAAAAGGACTGTTTTCAACTGTTCAGGGCAAAATATAATCATTTATATTTGCAAATCAGAAAAAAAATGAAGCAGCGAATCCGTTAACCAAGAAATTATATTGGTGTGGCCTAAAGATAATTTTAAACCTCATGTTATCAATGTTTTCTTTTGTTTGCTTCTCCCCCCAAAAAATGTTTTTCAGGATCCGTATTGACGTCACTGCTAAGCATTTAATTGAATTAACTGGCTGCAGAAGTAAGGAGCTGGAAGAATAATTTGCAAGATTTGATGTTCTCCAACATCAGAAGAGTGTAGTTTTTTGTACATTGAATAATACCTATCACATTTGACTATTTTCAAGAACTGTTGTACAAAATGTATTTCATTGTCATGGGTTTCATGTCATCTTTAAGTCAGAGGAGCAGGAATTTTCCTCAATCAAGTATATTTTATGTAACCTTCGCAGAAAGAAACATATTGTTTTCACTCAGTTTCTTCTTCCTCAGGGTTCTTGCATAGATACTAAAAAATCTCCTCTCCCCTCGCTCTTGTTTTTTTTTTCACACCAGAGGCCAGTGTCACGCCAGACGTCCCTTGATAGCAGCCATCTCAATGTGTCCAGTGTGATGTCTAAGGACAAGACAGAAACTACCAGGACAGGGAAGAACACAGGTGGAGATGAGGAGTCACTGGATGTGTCCAGGGCCTCAGACAGCTCCAAAGTCTCATTTGACCTTCCTGTAGATGCTTCAGGTACTATTGTAGAATCAGATACACACTGACATACATTTACATCTGGTGTAGCGTCTGTTGTTCCCCATCTTCCAAGGGTTAGACGTGCTTGCACTGCAATACTGGGGCTTGATGGCAGCCTGCCATTTGCCTCTGTCCTGTGGGTTGATGTAGTGTGTCACAGATTTTACCCCGCTAGTTTTAAGTAAAAAAAGTAAAAAAAAAAATATCAGTATCAAAAAGTATCAGTATCAAAGAAAAAAATTAGGAAACACATCAACTTATCAATGGAAAATGACTGTTACAGTAATTTTATAAAAGAATTTGGGTGAATGGAATGGATGAAGTTTAGACAACATATTATTACACTAAATATGAACTTGTAAAACAGACTCATATTATGGACATCACATTGCGTCAATGTCATATTTACAGATAAAAAGAAAACCTCTCTCCTCTTAACATCAGAAAGTTGACAGTCGTCATAGAAAAAAGTTGGATAGTTTCAATTTGTCTTCCACTGTTTTAGAAAAAGAAGTCAAAGCCAACAAGTTACAATTTTTAGAGCTTCTAGACCAGAGTTACATGTTATATATAATTTTTTTTGCTCATTGTTCATTTGTCCTTTTCCTCTTATCCAAGAATTGGTAATGAGCTATGTTATTCTTCAACGAAACTAACAAGAGAAGTACTTTCTGCACTCTCCAGGTTCCAGAGCAGGAGTTGATGGGTTGTCAGTGGAAAGGCTGACTCTGCTGGGAAGGGTGCATGTAGCTCGAGTTGTGATCGAGTCACTACAAGTCAGCACTGACGATGGTGACGACAAACAAAAACCTAACAAGGCCAAGGACAGTAAGAACAAGCTCAGGGGCAGGCCACCCAGGCCTTCTCCAAAGAGAGCTAAGAGGTATATGTTGACAAGTTTTGAAATAGGGATTAGGCCATGTTGATTTGATAGTATGGATGACATCTGCATGTGCATGAATTTTTCCCAAAAAAATTCAACCACAGTCTGTAAATCGTACATGTACAAAGATACAAAATGAGCAGATAAATGCTGTAAAAAAAAAAAGATGTTGGAAAATGATGTAGAATGCCAAAATGAATTCCAAAGGAAAAGAAGAAAATGTGAAGAAATGAAAATGAAGTCTATTATTCGACATACAATACTCCATTTGGTCCTTTGTGTCCATGTAGATTTCATAATGAAGGTAACTTTTTTCTCAAACTTTTTTTTTCTCAACCTTTTTTGCTCAGCACGTACTTTGTGGAGTACCAGTTCCCAGTGGCTGCCAGCTCCAGGGACAAGGGCGGGGCCAGCGCCATGGCAACAGAGGTCATGAGGGTCGCGTCCAAGAAAATCAAAGATGGAGGTACACTACTAAATATAGTTAATTATTTCTGTAATGCATTATTTCCATGATATTCGAGACAAACATTCCTCGTAAAATGTCACACCTCAAACATGTATTCTGTGTATTATTATATTCGTATTAAGGGGGGCTTGCCACACTGTTTTTCGCTGTATGTACATTTCTTTGATAAACGAATAAAAAATATATATATATAGTTAACAAGTTCTGTAAGAATGGCATAAAGTGTAAAATTTAGAGATGTTTGATTTTCTTACACATTGTATGTCTGTTATGTTTTAGCATGGTAAAAGGGGCCTGCATGCCCTTTTCCATAGAGGGTAATTGACTGTTTTAATTGTATGTAGAGGGTAATTGGCGCATTTTGCATAGAGCATAATTTGCGTTTCAGTTCTGCGTAATACGTTGTGGCCACTTGGAATTTATCGGCAGCCATGCAGGCCGATAAGTGTAATGACAAAATACCCCCCTAAAAGCCTGCATTGGTAGACTGGTCAACAGATGATTATTCTGGATCTGTCTGTATCTGTATTCTGTATAGCCGGTATAACCGCCTTTCGGCGTAACACACCAGCTTTATTTAGGATCATATAACCTTGTCCTGCGGGACCCATATATATATGGGTTGCACATATAGTACCATCTATAGTGCCCTGTATACAAGTCATGTATGTTCGGGATTACTTCTCGTGCAACGCATCACACCGCAGCGAAACACAACGAATTCGGAAGAAACTATGCCACCACGGGGCAAAAAAAGTCAAGGGTCTGTGACTTGATTAAGTCTTAAAATTATTTGAAAATATTGTATAGAAATTGCCAGCAGGACATGTGTGATCTTTTTTTCTGTTTGTAGTTGTGACATTTGGGCACAGGTCGATGTTCCCTGTCCAGTTTGACGGACCCTGTGTGGAGCGATGGTGGAAACAGCCGCTGGAGTTCAGAGTCTTCTGTAGGAACCCTGGTCAGAAATCTGTGAGTAGGAACATACATGTAGCATTGAATCTTCTGCTCTTACATGTACCTACAAATGTGCAAAAATTTCTATTTACCTGTTTGATTTAATGGTAGTAATACAAATAGGAGGTAGTAGTAACTAGTAAGGCATTTCAGTTGTACATGTTTGCCATGACAGTTAGCCCCCAAAATGTGTTTTATCACACAGTAGTGTAAAACGTCTTAGATTTTCCTTTCAATTAACATATTGATATTTGTGAAGCAAGTTTGAATTTTAGTTTTCAACACAAGAAATTAGACTTACCCAAGTTATTGATTGCACCGCTTCTGTGATGTCACATTATGCAGGTAACAAACGATTCGGTGGAAAGTGGATCATAGGTTGCAGAAAGTCTGTAGCGCCCCCCGTCTTTGTGGAGGAATGGTTACAATGCCCCAATTTAGATAGCCTCTTAATTACCTTGTGCAAAAATTTTTCTACCATTGAACACAGAAACTTTCAAGATAACATTAATTTTATTATATATTTGTCAATATTGACACTTTTCAGCCAATCTTGAAGGGAACTTGCAGCCTTCCTTTGAAGTCTGTCTTGAAGTCAGAAGACCTGAGTGTCTACTGTGACCTCGAGGTGAAAGGTGAATCCAGGTCAAGGTCATCATCCACAACATCAAGGTCAGAGTCAGAGGCCCTGCAGGAAGGAGGACTCGGGCCACTTAAGGTATTGTGCATAAAACTGTTGAAGTTCTGTTGAAATCATGTAATTCTAGACCTTAAATTCTCTTATTTATCTTGCTTGTGATTCTTCTATCTATTGCTCATAGTAAGATAGTTTTTGGCGACGCCTTAGGAGCGGAGGCATTTGTGTAAGTACTACGATCGCTTTGAAATAATTTCACAAATTGTACGAATGCATTCCCTCGGGAATTGGTTTTGGGGTTGCCTTTGCCTGTGTGACCTTAAGTCGAAGCAAGAAGGGACTTTGTTGCTTTGTATGTAAAAGGTGACATTTTGGGCAGGTAACTGATTTGGGCACAGAAAATGATTGTCTTTAACGATGTTTTTCTGCATGGCAAATGAGGAAAATCCTTATTGCTACCTACCATCCAAAATTCATGACCCTAGCATGTCCAGATCGCGAGATATCAAGACCAGAAATTCCCGCTGCAGTACCAAGGGAAGCCACTAGGGGGCCAAAAATCTCATCATTTCTAGGTTTAGTCACACCCTACGGACCCACCAAGTATGAAACCAATCCATCTAGCCGTTCTACTGTTATCTTGTGTACAAAATTTAATTCCCTCGGGAATGCATTCGTGGGATTCTTAGAATATTTTCAACTCAATCGCAGTACTATACCAACGGCTCCACCCCAGAGGCGTCGCCAAAAAATAGTCATTATACAGTCTACTATCTTCAAAGCCTTCCATCGTCAGTTGGTAAGAAGAAGATGAAAGCCCCAAAAGATGAAAGCCCCAAAAAAACATTTCCGGACATGCCACAGATTTTCTTAACAGTCGTTTGCTTACAACAGTTCACTGTAGTTAATCATACCCATACAAAATATTTTTAAAAAACATCGCCAACTATTTTATAATTTTCTCCAAGCTTTATTAGTCTGTAGCTGAGCTAAAACTGTAATTTATTAGCTTTTTTTTCACTGCATGGAAACATGGGAGATTTGAGAGTACTGATATTGTGTTTGTATAGAATAACCAAATACATTGTACTACATGTATTGCCCTTTCGACATTTTGTATATTGTTTGTTTGTCCATTGAAATATTACAACACAAATATTTGGTGCAAGGAAAACGTACCCATCCTGGTCATTTGTTTTCTATTCCGTTTTTAGTGTGTTAAAATTCGATCTGTTTTTTTTCCGCTAAAATGAGAGCAATAATGTTGTTGTTATGTTATAGTAACTGTATCAATAGTTGTTGATTTTATAGTTTTTACTAGAATATTATTGTTCTTTGAACACTAGAAAGGTACAGTCAAACCTGTAATAGCGGTCACCATTGTATAGTGGTCACTTGGCCATAGCGGTCAGTTTTTGCCGGTCCCTTGAATTTTTACCATTGACGTATTTCTTACTCTTCAGATTATCAAAATTACACCGAATTTGTTTATTTTTCAAAATGGACACCTTCTCGGCTACTGTAATAATACCCACTCACCACTAGAGCTGTGTACCTAAACAAATTTTAGGTACAGGTACAGGTACAGGTCCGGACCTGAACCTGTACCTGAACAATTCGACCAATTTATATGGTCTTCTGAACTCCTTCAATAACAAAAAACATAAATAAACTTGATAGTTAAGGTTTATTCTTTGTTTATGGCGAATGCTCAGATAAAATATAGGCAAAACTAAGTGTTTTGTTTTCATGAACACACTGTCCTTACACAGGGACCCATTGTTAACCACCTTTATACACATTTGAGGTCACAAATAGGCATAAAATTGGTGTGAAATTGTTTAGGTACAGTACCGGTACTGAGGGAGTAGGTATTTTGGACCTGTACCTAATCAATTTTTCCGGTACAGTATCGGTACTGCGTACCGGTACACAGCTCTACTCACCACACATCCACATACAGTGTATGCAATCCACAACACCATAGAACAGTCAGAACTCGCAGGGTACAACACTTAGACAATTTATTAAAACTCCTCAACTTTAACAATGTTTGATTCTTATTGTATATTGTCTATTGGTGGTGCCAGTATCAATAATATTGTAGACATGCTATCATCTGAGAGATAATGCTCACACTTCCAGGATTATCTCAATAAACCATTCATTGTAAACTATTTATTAGTAGTGTTATGATCGTCAACACAAGTGTTGACATATGATTCTAGTATTATTCAAGTATTATTCAATATCTTACACATCTCATTATCAGGTTCATATTTGCTTTTAAAGGCGTCCAGTTTTTAGGACTTGGAAACCCGATTTTTAAAGACCAATATTCTAGCCATTTATTTACATATTGAGTTGAAACCACAGTATCCCAATGTGTATTGACTCTCATGGAGCAAAAATTCCTGAAATTTTGGTGGAAAATGGTTCCTGGAAGGGTCCTTGGTTGATTCGTAGGGTGCAACCCAGAAAAAAGGACTCATCTTGGGACTTGTTTTTGCAGTTTTAAAAGCCCAAAGTATGAAATATTGACTCAAATGTGCTAAAGTGAAGCAGTATGTGTCAATATCACAAAGATTGCCTTATTCAGAATATTTCTTTTTTTGCTGCCCTGAAATCGCATTGGATGCCTTTAAGGCATATATTTGTATACATCAACTTAAAATCCCTTACCTCTACATTTATATGGTGGTATTTCACAATATCAGCATCACAGTGAACAGTTAGCAACTCTTTGAAAAAGAGTTTTGTTTCTGCGTTTTTTATATACACTTTCTTTGTTGGGAATCATCTAAAATCATCCCAGATCATCTAAAAGTACCATAATAGCAACTATACGTAGAACACAGTCATTGCCATGTAATATGATTGTCATATTACTTATATCATCAGTATACAATATACATGTATACTGTTAGGTATATATAACAAGAGCTCACATTGTCTTGTAGGCAATCCTTGGACCATGAAAATAACAGTAACTGTTAGAGCTGTGTACCGGTACGCAGTACCGATACTGTACCGGAAAAATTGATTAGGTACAGGTCCAAAATACCTAATCCCTCAGTACCGGTACTGTACCTAAACAATTTCACACCAATTTTATGCCTATTTGTGACCTCAAATCGGTCCCTGTGTAAGGACAGTGTGTTCATGAAAACAAAAACATCTTTAGTTTTGCCTATATTTCATTTGAGCATTCGCCATAAACAAAGAATAAACCTTAACTATCAAGTTTATTAATGTTTTTTTGTTATTGAAGGAGTTCAGAAGAGCATATAAATTGGTCGAATTGTTCAGGTACAGGTTCAGGTCCGGACCTGTACCTAAACCTGTGTACCTGTACCTGTACCTAAAATTTGTTTAGGTACACAGCTCTAGTAACTGTTTATGTTTACCTTCGCTAAGGAAAATATACTAGTATATTTTACTATTACATGTAGTAATACTAGTACAGTGCAGTTACAAATGTAAGTTGTTGGGATAGACCATGTGAAGGTAAACATTATGCATTTTGCATCGCAAATGTTGCTTTTCTTGTTACAGAGTATTTCTTCAAGAGCGCGTACCATTTTATACCGTCAAGTAACAGTCATACACATACATGATGATGATTGTAAGGGTACCATATGCATATTAAATTTGTTGCTGAACCATATCTATGACAATTGTCATTGAACAGATCCATACGGTATGCATGTAGACAGCCTGCTGAAGATAACCAGGTACTTTAGAATTGATGCAGACATTGTTACAGTGGATATAATGCATCGTACTTAGAAAACAGTACAACAGCCATGTCCATTGTGGATTCACAACTTGATATAGCACGAAATGGCACGTTTAGTGTTCGTTGTCCACTGGTTATAGGTGTGTGACCATACAGGATACAGCGTGCTTGTGAATCATGGATCAGCCAGTCCCGGGCTCGAATCCCAGCTGTTGTCGCATAACTGAACCAACTTGTGCATACATGTACCTTGGAAATACTGCATTAGAGATCTGTCAAATTGTGCATTTTCTATGCATTTATGTATTGGTTACAGAGCAACATATTGCAGTATGAAGATCATAGGATTTATATTCGGTATGCTCTGTCTTTTGTGTCATGGAGGCAATATTTAAAATTCTTTAATATATCATGTTAAAAGTAATTTTTTATTCTGTTCTTAAATATACCTAATATTTAAGAACAGAATAAAAAATTCAGCCATATTAGACGCCATTTTTATGGAGTACTCAGCTTTCAATATGGTCTAGAACATTTCTGTTTCAATCAGGTCTCTGATAATTGTACTCCTTTATCATATCATGTTAGAAATATGTAACAAGCTTCTTTAGGCCACACCAATTTAATTTGTTGGTTCTCGGATTCGCCTCTTCATTTTTTCCTGATTTGCAAAAAAAAAAAAAATTTCAGAATCAACTGCAAAATGCTCATATTTTGGCCTGAACAGTTGAAAACAGTCCTTTTCTTCCTAGTCGTTACAGTTATTCCATCTTTCAATGCAGTGGTATCATTAGAAGTTCAAAATTCATTGTTTAAATTTTGAACCAGCCTGGTGTGTTGACTTCATACCTCCTATCGTAGCATTTGGGGCTATAATAGGATGTCTAGATCTGTTTTTATTTTTTTTTCGCCCTGTCGCTTCATATTTTTCCTGAAAAAATCCGAGAACCAACAAATTAAATTGGTGTGGCCTTACTGACAAAAGAATCAGATTTCAGAACAGAAAACAAAATTCAAGCCGTGTAAGATACAATTTTTACGGAGTACTATATGTAGCCTTTCAATACGGCCTAGAACATTTCTGTTTCAATCAGGTCTTTGACAACGTACTCCTTTATCATGTCGAAAATAATATGTAAAAAGCTTCTTTACTGACAAAAGAATCAGAACAGAAAACAAAATTCAAGCCGTGTAAGATAGTTTACAATTTTTACAGAGTACTAGCCTTTCAATATGGCCTAGAACATTTCTTTTTCAATCATATCTACATGTATGACAATGTATTACTTATGTCTTCAACATTGTGTAGACAAAAGCAGTTTCTGCCTACAGTCATAGCCTC